TTGTAATGTTCCCCTGGGCTAGTCATGTATTTGAGGCCAACAATGGAAGAAAACATATAAAATGTTTTTGATGGAGAAAAAATGCTTCATAATGGACATTGCTTCACTTGTTACGAGGAGTCACAGTCACACCGACCCAGATAGGCAAAGACTGTACCCAGGAATCTATACCTATTTTCTTTCTATCCTTATGTCAACATCTAGGAAGATACTGTTTTGTGTCCTTCATGATTTCCCCCCCAATTTTCTCCCCCATTAGGAGAGGATGAGGTTCAGACAGCAGAACAAAAATTTACATGAATTGAGACCAGGAGGAAAGTGCATAATTTCTTCCTCCTCTCCATCATCTCTTTACCTCTCTCACTTGAAATCTTCTGTATAGATGTGAAGTCTTTCCTGTCACCTAGCTCTCGTAGGCCTATTTCTTGTCCAACAAAATTCAAATTCTGTGCTGAAAATAATGTCCTGTCCTCTTTTAGTGGCAAAAATCCAGAATATTCTTAGCAGAAAAGTTTTCTGTGATATTTTTACTTCTTCCTGCAGGCTTTCTTTGGAAATAGGTGAGTAATCCTGTTAGAGATTTGTCACTTGATGCACAATGAGTGAATACTTTGGCTCACGAGGACTATGGTTTTTCAAGAAGCTTGAGGGAAAACTGAAAATTTCAAATAATGTCTATTTTGTTGTAACTTTGAAGTTTTCAAAAAGAGCACGCACTGCACCAACAAAATCCCTTTCTGCGTGAACAGTGGGCCAGGTTGGGTAGGCTGATAGGCAGTTTTGCATGCAGATTTGTATGTTTCTGGCTATACACCAAATTTGGTGGGCATCTCTTTCCACTTTTCTAAAAGGAACAAAATAAAAGTAGTTAATTGAAATAAATATTATTCAAATTGAGCAATCCAACAATAGGCAGAAAAGGCCAAATGAAGTGAATGTTTACAGTTTTACTGTATGTTCTGTCAACTCTGAATTTGTTTTGCTGTTACATTTTTCAATATTCTGCCTGTAACATACAATACTTAAGCCACATCAACACTGATACAGTTTCAGGATCCAAGGAGTACTTCTGCAGGGTGTAGGTTTTGAACAAAGCTTTCATATTATCATGCCTTTACTTTATAGTTAATATCACAGTTACAAGTACAATAAAGGAATAGGGCCCATGAAAATATGCAATCTGATAAATGACTTGACTCTTAGTGTAGTTTGGGAATATTTTTAGATACAGGATATAAATCTGCCAAACATTTAAATATTTAAATTGATCAGTTAAACTGACTACATTACACATATTTTACTTGTGAGGAGTCCATCTTTTTGCATTCAGACAGCTAGATTTCACACTTACAAGTTTTTAATCTTGTTCTTCCAGAGCGATCAACAGCAGCTGAAAATCAGACAGTATTATTAAATCTGATCATTTTCAACTAAATGACTGTTCAATAACTATATTTCAGGGCATATCTCTGATCACGGAAGCACAGTATTAGAGAAAGAAGGCTTTTTTAGGTAGGCTTATGAAAATTTGAAATATAACTGTCAACTGTATAAAGGTCTTTAATTTAGAATCCAATTTCTGTTCACATTCAGCATAATATTAACTATTTAGTTACTTTTCAGTTGTGGTAGAACTGTATATTCAGTCATTGGAATGTGGTATAACTGAAAAATTTATATTCAAAGAAAAATTAAAAGAGTAGCTCTCTTAATATGTAGTTAATTACTTCTAAGTTAAACCACTGCTACTCAAACGGAAAAATTACATAACTTTTCATGTAGATCAGGCTAAAGCTGTTAATTTTATTACGCAAATGTTTTCAGTTTAATTACTGGGATTAATTATATTGAGCATTTCCAAAGGAGTCTTCAGGCCATAATTTGTTATTTAACAAAGCCTGAAAGTGTCGTACATCTAACAAACATTACACTATTTTTCAGTGGAATATTGTTCCTACCCTACTTAGAGGTATATGATCTCATTAAATCTGTCTTGATGAATCATGGAGTGGCTAATATTAAGTGTAAGGGTCAGTTACTGGTACTCTTTGAGCTCTTTTGGTTTAGTGATTTAAACCAATAGCTTATACTTTCTTTACATGTGTAGCAATTTTATGTACATGTAATATATGTAACTGAGATGGTGTTTTCCAGTTGCTTCATTCAAAACGGAGTTGATTAACATGCAGTTTGGTATATCTGCACAGTTCAATAGGACTAGGCATGTGGCCATAAGGAAATGGCAGTTTTACAAGAAGCAAGTATGTGCACTATGCATTCTTTTTATTTTTTAAAAATTAGGCCAGATCATCTCCTTTCTGTAAAACAGAAGTGGATGTAACAACTAATTTCAGTGATATTTCAGTGTCACACTGCTGCAGTTAACAAGAATCCTGTGCTGAAGCACTGTAAGCTCACTGCTTAGGAGCTCAGAAAGGACATTGCCCTTAGATTGAATGAGGCAGATTTCAGAGCAGGAATACAGGGAAATGCTTGCATCTTGGCTGAAAATGTAATTACAGCCCTAACCATGTTACATAAATCTGCTGTGATACTTCAGCTCAGCCATCAAGCCTTCACTGATTTAAGGTGAAACTTCCTGACTCTTCTCTCTCACTGTACCTTTTTCCTTGTCATTTCTTTCATGTTAAATCATGAGTTACTGCCTCAGCTTTAGTAGATCTTTAGTGAGTTTTCACTAAGTTCTGGTTTTGATTCAGTTTCTCAGATACTGAGTTTAATATGCTGATCCCTGCTCTGTGTGCACATAGATCATTCCTCCACAAATCACTCACCGCTTTATCTTTCACCTCCTTTAAAGCCCCCAATCCATCAATTTCTTTCACCCTGCTATTATTGTCCCTCTTTCTCCAACTGGCTTCTATTCCTCTGCTGATTCAGTGGTCACTACCTGTAGTTCAAGCTCTACTAGGTCAGCCCTTTCAAATTCATCCCATTAAAGACACCTTCCATTTTGAGGCAAACATGTATGCACCTCAGTTCCCCTCTGGCATACCACTAATCACTAGTAGAGGAAAAAGAGGAACAACACAGACTTTCTTCATCTTTTGCTAACTGAGGTTCTGTGTCATCAGTGCTGATCACCCACCAAATCTTGTATTAATTTTGCAAAGTTCACTGCATAAAATTGCTACTTTTCACACGTGCATGTACATCTCTCTGATCTTTGCAGCTGTCTTTTACCTTACAGGAAACTCTTCCATGAGTTCAGTGTCTTTTCCTTTTCTGAAATATCTCAATATCTCTTGTTCTCTTCTTTTGGCTCTGTCTTCTTCTGACATCTGGCTTCAGCTACTCCTTTATTTATCTCTTTTGGGTTTTTTTCTTCCTTTTTAATGCTTAGGTGGATTTCAGGGTCCTCGACATATGCTTTTACATATAGGAAGATGTCAGCTCCTGCAACATACTGTCATATCCTTCTGCTTCAATAGTGTGCTATCCTCATTTGGTTTCTCAGCTGTACATTATCTTGCTCTATGTGAGTTTTTAGCAGAATATTCATCAAACATATTATCCCCTTTCTCCCACCTCTCCACTCACTCTTGCAATTTTTCTGTGTTCTAATGCACACTGAGATGTCCTAGCTCAAAGTATTTACAGTCCTGCTTCAGACATGGCGCAGTAAGACCAGGTTGCAAAATAAGGTGATGATGGTACAGTAACATGATTCTCCATGTAGCATATATCAATACTGTTTCCATCAAATAATACTTACACTTCTCTTACCGAGGACTGTCTTTTGATCATTTCTGAGGGTCTTGTCATCTCAAATCATCCTCAGTTTCATCCTTCTTAAGAGTATCCCAGTTGCACTCCAGTACGTATTTGAGAGCATCATTAAGTTGTGCTCTCCTTTGTCTCATCTCACCAACTCCTTCTTCAGTCTGCC